TGTGTGTGGGACTGTACCCCAGTGAGAGTCAGTGTGTGTGTGGGACTGTACCCCAGTGAGAGTCAGTGTGTGTGTGGGACTGTACCCCAGTGAGAGTCAGTGTGTGTGTGGGACTGTACCCCAGTGAGAGTCAGTGTGTGTGTGGGACTGTACCCCAGTGAGAGTCAGTGTGTGTGTGGGACTGTACCCCAGTGAGAGTCAGTGTGTGTGTGGGACTATACCCCAGTGAGAGTCAGTGTGTTGTGGGACTATACCCCAGTGAGAGTCAGTCCTTTTGGAACTGCTCTGTCCTCTGGCAGTGGGGGGCGTTTGCAGTCTGTAGCTGTCGCTCCAAAGTGACAGTCTTAACTGTGTTGGTTAGTTTTCGAAGAGTAGTGGTGATTGAATCCAGAGATAGTAGGAACTGCAGATGCTGGAGAATCTGAGATAACAAGGTGCAGAGCTGGATGAACACAGCAGGCCAAGCAGGATCAGAGGAGCAGGAAGGCTGATGTTTCGGGCCTAGACCCTTCTTCAGGAAAAAAAAGAGTTTGCTCACTCTGTCGGTGTCCCACTGCTAAATGGGAAGGTCCGCAGTGGTTATGAGATCAGGGTGGGGCACCCAGTTAGCAGCTCCTTTTTATTTACTGAATATATCTGAGTGTTTGATTTTAAAACAGAAAGTCCTGCAAACACTGAGCAGCTCAGGCAGTGTGTGTGGACACAGAAACAGTGCCAATGCTTCAGCTCGGTGACCTGATCCCAGATCTGGGTGAAGCCTGAGACGGGTCAGATTCTGAATAAATCTGAGGGAGTAGTGGAAGTCAGGTGAGGGGGGGAGGGGAGGGCAGTCAGATTAACAGGGACGTGTCTGCAAATGGGTGAGAGAGGCAGGAGAGATTGATTTCTTAAAATGGAAAGAGGCACAAAGAGAGAGGTGAGGTGTGAATGGCAACAGGAAATCATTATTTGGTGGCATTGTCGGGAAAACATTGGGACAGAGATTTCAATGCAAACTGGTGAATCTCTGTCGAGAGCGAGAGTCTCTAAAGGTTCTCATAGGAGCATAGGAACAGGAGGAGGCCATTCAGCCCCTTCAAACCTGTTGTGCCATTCACTGAGTTCATGGCTGTAACTGCACACACCCTGCCCTTGGCCCATATCCCATTTTGCTTCACAAAAAGGTATTCGTCTACAACTTAAAATTAACAGTTGAATTTGCATAAAAACTGAAAGGACTGCGGATGCTGTAAATCAGGAACAAAAACAGAAATTGCTGGAAAAGCTCAGCAGGTCTGGCAGCATGTGTGGAAAGACATCAGAGTTGACGTTTCAGTTCGAATGACCCTTCCTCAGAACTGAATTAGCATCCACAGCTGTTAGTGGAAGAGATTTGAACAGCTCTCTCCCAGCCTATGTGTGTAGAAGCGCTTCCGAGAATTGCAATAGTTTTATTGTCATGTGTACTGAAGTACAGGAGTACAGTGAAGAGTTTACAATATCAGTCCACATGACATTACAGGAAAGATGTGGAAGCGTTGGAAAAGGTGCAAAGGAGATTTACCAGGACGTTGCCTGGAATGGAGGGAAGGTCTTATGAGGAAAGATTGAGAGAGCTAGGGCTTTTCTCTTTAGAACAATGAAGGATGAGAGGTGACTTGATAGAGGTGTACAAAATGATCAGAGGTATAGATAGAGTGGACAGCCAGAGACTTTTTCCTAGGGTGGAGGTAGCTATTACGAGGGGGCATAATTTTAAAGTGAGTGGAGGTAGATATAGGGGAGACGTCAGAGGTAGGTTCTTTACTCAGAGAGTGGTCGGGGCATGGAATGCATTGCCGGAGAGGGTAGTGGAGTCGGCCTCATTAGGGGCATTTAAGCAGCTATTAGATAGGCATATGGATGATAGTATAAGGTAGGGGTGGAGGTTAGATAGACCTTAGGATTAAGGTAAA